ATTTTGAATTAGTTATATCTGCAGGTAAATAAATAATTGCACTATTATTATCTCGAAAACTTCGACCTTTAAAATTATTATTAATAAATAAATAAATAAAGTAATAATTAATTAATAATTAATTAATAAATAATAATTAATTTAATAATTATAATACCTGAAGATGGTAAACCATTTTGTTTTGCATAATTTGCTATAAAAGTAATAATTTTAAGTACAATTTCAAATGATATTGTTCGATTTCCTATTTTTCCAGTTTTTAAATCTTTTCTTAAATTGATATCATTTTTAATAAAATGTTCTCTTAAATTTTTCCATCTTTTATCTCCAAGTTCATAAATTATTTTAAAAGCATTTAAACAAATTGATTTTCCTTCAAAAGTATATTCTGTTGAAAGCTTAGTTTTTTTTGAATTTCGAACTATTTCTGGACGTTTAGTAGCAGAAATTATACCTAGTAAAAACATATCTTGAAAAGATTTAGAAAGATTTTTAAAATTTAAATGTCTTAACAAAACTACAGAATAATCATACTGTTGTAAACAATTTTTTTCACAACATCCATTATCAAACAATTTTTTAAATTCATCATTTTGTGTTAAATTAATTTCTTCTTCTAATTTTTGATCACTATCATCAGGTTTTTCTAAAAAATCTTTTGTATTTTGATATAATATTTTAAATTTAGTAATTTCTTCTTCAGTCCAAATTTCATTTTCTAAAGGATTATTTTCTAAAATTTCAAAATTTTCTAAATTATCTAATAAAGATAAATTATTATTTTCTTCTAAATATTGAAATTGCAAACCAGAAAGATTAGTTTGCAATTGTGTATTTTCTTTATGAGTTTCTTCAAAAATACTTTTATTTAAAAAAAAATTAGACATTTTATAAAATAAATTTTAAAATTTTTTATAAAAAAATTATATTTTTATTGCATTTATATAATTACATTAAAGTTTATAATAATATAAAAATATTATTTGTATGTTTATTATTGTAACAAATTCAATTGTATGCATACAGATTTATTACAATAGTAATTTAAATAATTATTATACTATTAAAAACAATACAAATAATTTTTTTTATTTAATAAAAATATAAACTTTAAAGAACAATACAATTAATTGTTCATTCTAAATTAAGTATCTATAAAAATAATAATAATTAATTTTAAATTTTTAATAATTACGTAATGGCAGAGGAGTCAATGCAGTTTCAAATATGCATAAATATGCATAATATCATACGATGTCCAATTGTATAACGATAAACAATAATTTACTCAAATGTAGTTTTTGAACCAAATCCACGACTTTTATTATTTTTTTTATTGATTATTTTCAATTGCACCTCTAAACTACACACAACCGCAGTAACCAACCAATAATCGTGTTACGTCTATAAAGATCATTCACAACAACAAATTATAGAAGTATTTGAACCAATTCACATGAAGTTAGAAAAGACTTCGTTGCTAGTAGTTAATGAACCAAACCCACAAGAATTTAAGAAATTTCGTTACCAGATCCCAATTCACTTGAAACTAAAAAAGAAAAAATCCACAAGTATTTAAAAAAAAGATTTTTGTCGCCAAACCAAATCCATCAGAGTTCAGAGAAAGACATAGTTTTGAACCAAATCCACAGAACTAAAAAATAACTTTAATTACTTTTTGCCAATTTGTCATGCGCCCCTAACCTGCGCATAACCGTCGTAACCAACCAATAATCATGTTACGTCTGCAAAGATCATTCACAACAACTATAGAAACATCTGAACCAATTCACTGGAATTTAGAAAAGACTTCGTTACTGGTAGTTATTGAATCAAATCCACAAGAATCTAAAAGTTTCGCTACTGGATCCCTATTCACTTGAAATTAAAAAAAGACACAAAAATTTAAAAAAGATTTTTCGTTGCCAAACCAAATCCATCAGAGTTCAGAGAAAGACTTTCGCTGGTAGTTTTGAACCAAATCCACAGAACTAAAAAATGACTTTAATTACCTTTGACCAATCTGTCATGCGCCCCTAACCTGCGCATAACCATCGTAACCAACCAATAATCATGTTACGTTCGTAAAGATCATTCACAACAACTATAGAAACATCCGAACCAATTCACTGGAATTTAAAAAAGATTCGTTACTGGTAGTTATTGAACCAAATCCACAAGAATCTAAGAGTTTCACTACCAGATCCTTAACCACTTGAAATTAAAAAAGGACACAAGAATTTAAAAAAGATTTTTCGTTGCCAAACCAAATCCATCAGAGTTCAGAGAAAGACTTTCGCTGGTAGTTTTGAACCAAATCCACAGAACTAAAAAATGACTTTAATTACCTTTGACCAATCTGTCATGCGCCCCTAACCTGCGCATAACCATCGTAACCAACCAATAATCATGTTACGTTCGTAAAGATCATTCACAACAACTATAGAAACATCCGAACCAATTCACTGGAATTTAAAAAAGATTCGTTACTGGTAGTTATTGAACCAAATCCACAAGAATCTAAGAGTTTCACTACCAGATCCTTAACCACTTGAAATTAAAAAAGGACACAAGAATTTAAAAAAGATTTTTCGTTGCCAAACCAAATCCATCAGAGTTCAGAGAAAGACCTTCGCTAGTAGTTTTGAACCAAATCCACAGAACTAAAAAATGACTTTAATTACCTTTGACCAATCTGTCATGCACCCCTAACCCGCGCATAACCGTCGTAACCAACCAATAATCATGTTACATCTGTAAAGATCATTCACAACAACTATAGAAACATCCAAACCAATTCACTGGAATTTAGAAAAGACTTCGTTACTGGTAGTTATTGAACCGAATCCACAAGATTTCATTACCAGATCCCAATTCACTTGAAACTAAAAAGGAACAAAACCCACAAGAGATTTTCGTTGTCAAACCAAATCCGTCAGAGCTCAGAAGAAGACCTTTACTGGTAGTTTTGAGCCAAATCCACAGATCAAAAAATGACTTTAATTACTTCATTAATTTGTCATGCACCCCTAACCCGCGCATAACTGTCGTAACCAACCAATAAACATGTTACATCCGTAAAGATCAATCACAACGACAGGCAATAAAAGCATTTGAACCAATTTACTAGAATTTGGAAAAGACTTCGTTACTGGTAGTTATTGAACAAATCTACCTGAATTTAAGAAGTTTCGTTACCGGATCCCAAACCACTGCATTAAAAAGAGCAGTATAATAGCAATTTGCATTAACATTAAAATTGAAACCTTTCTTTCTTGACTTTATAACTAGATTTTAAAAGAGAATGTCTTCGTTATTGGTAGATTTGAGTTCAAGTTAAATAAAAATAATTTTATGTAGAAAAAAAAAACTTAGTCAAAAAAGCAAAACTAACATAAACTAACATAAAAAAAAGCTAAAGTAATAAGATGTGTTTGACTTTTTTGACGTGTTAGTGTTAATGTTTCTAGAATATCTAACATAAAAAAAAGCTAAAGTTAGTGTTAATGTTTCTAGAATATTCTAACAAATTATCGAAGATCCGATTTCTATTTTTAGATTTCTTTACGATTTTTAGTTTTTTGCATTTATCCGATCTTTTTATTATGTAATATTCTTTTGTAACTTATAGTAAATATGTTTATTGGATGTATATCTATTAAAAAATAAAATAAAAAAAATTTTTTAAAAATGTAAAAATGGGCCCTTTTAGTTGACAGCACTCCATATACACTTATTTATACAATTCAATCATATACTAACTCAATTCACCTTGCTTTGCAGACAACTATTAAGTTGTTTCTTAAACTTAATTCAAAAATTCATGAATAGCTGTGGTTACCCTACTGTTCTGAATTTGCAAACTGGAAGCAACAATACAATATTCACATACCACACTCAAACTATCAACAAAATCACAGAAATAATCGACAACCTCCCTATACACCTCAGGAAACATATAATTTATATAGTCTTCCTCCTCAATACAACCAAATTTCACCAACTGAACTTGCTATACAAAAACTTTCTGCTTGGCCAATACATTGGATTAAATATGGCTTCTCTACAAATTATCTCCTTTCTAATCA